CTTTATAGCACTCCCCGGAAAATTCTACCTCTGTTTCATATATAATTCTTTTAAATTCGGTCGATTATTTCCCGAAAAATTAGAAGAATTAGAAAAATTGGTTTCCAGAAAATCGGTAACGAAAAACTATACACTTTATGGCACTCCCCGGGAAATTCTACCCCTATTTCATGTATAAAAATTGATAAAATGATAAAAATTGATAAAAATTCGGTCCACTAACGAATGAGTAGTTCGCGGTCAGACAGACAGACAGACAGACGTCCGGTACTTATATATATAGATATTTGAAGTTATCAAATGCTCTGAAGTGATGTGAAAGTAATGCTTATAACAGAAAATGACACCATCATAACAGATTGGTTTCATAAGGAGACCTTGTCGGGCAGACTGCTGAGTTTTTTTTTCAATCATCTACTCCAACATAAAATTGGAACAATTTATAGCCTAGTCGACAGGGCTATATTGTGACACCCGAGGTTCTTTAGAAAGAATTTAATTTTTATCATCAATGTTTTACTAAGCGATGGATATCCCATTGATCTAATATTATATCGAATTAATATGAGACTGAGAAAATTACAATTAACAAAAAATATTAAAAGAGATAATAATGCAGTAAGTTTACAAAAAGAAAAAAGTTTTATTGCCATTCCATATTTAAATTCTATTTCAAAAATTATAGCATCAGCAGTGGATAAATCAGAAAATTTGGTGGGATATCGCATTTTAAACAAACTTAACAACATTATTAAGGTTCATAAAGATAAGAACGCCCTTCTCACAAATACTGATGTAATTTATAAGATCGATTGCAAAAATTGTGATGTTTCCTACGTCGGCCAGACAAAGAGGCAACTCCAAACGAGATTAAAGGAGCATAAAAGCAACATTAGATTAGATAAAACAAAGCATACGGTTGTCTCTGAGCATAACGTGAAATTCGGTCATACATTTGATTGGGACAATGCTCGTATATTGGAAATCGAACATAATTATAAAAAAAGATTAACGGCGGAGATGATACATATAAAGGAACAGGCAAACGGTATAAACTTAAACAAGGACACGGAGTTATTGAACGATGCCTATTTTGATATTCTGAACGTATTATCACATATGAAATTTTAACAGCAATCCGTGCCCTTTCGAAGCGAGCATTGCCACAGTCGCATGTAATGTCTCGCGATGATCACACGTACATACCTACTGTTGAGACGATGAAGGAAGTTTCCGTATCTTTCGCTGCACTGACTTCTTATGTGAGTGTCCCGCTTAACAAATCTTTACTTAATTAATTCGCGTCTCTTATCGTAATTTTATACTGTGTTCAGTTGCCATTAAGACGGTCGGGTGACATAAAGATTCGCGAATGCAGGGACATCACGGACGTTCGCCTTGTTCTTGCGGCGGAGGAGACAACCGACAATGTACATTTGACGAATACCTGAGGTGTTTGACTTTTTACATGTTGCGACGGTTGCGAATTCTCAGTCCTTTTTAGTGTGATTTGATGCGTTGAAATTTAAGAAACGATTAAATTGGAATTATGCGGTTTGTTCTGAAGAAGGCCAAGTAAGGCTCGAAACGTCAACGTTGTTTTTATATTGCGAACACATTCGTTGTTAAATTGGTTTTAATAAATATACACCTATTAATAGCTCGTAATTTGGCCGTTTCTATTATTTAGCTTTAAGTATAATAAAGAAACATGATTAAAAAAATGTTATATTAATTTATCATATTCACTCGGCGCAAACCTCTTAATATCATTTTGTAGTAGATAATACAAATAGAATACTATTAATACAAAACACGTACACTTGCGCTTATTTTTACCTTTTTTGAAAAATCTAATTATAACAATGAGTAATGCGCACCTAATCCAAGGTCCTTTCTGAACTGATCGGTGATCCTGCCACTCTTAAGGATATTCTCAACATTCTTGTTGAGCTTGCAGAATCTTTGGCATACGTTGTACGTAGCAACAGCGTACTGAACTTCCATCATGATAATAACTATGTACATGAAATATAGGGGGACGTAATTGATTGGACCTTTGTCGTTCAGCTTCTTGTTCAGCTTCACCTCATAATTCCATGTGTAGATATCGAGGCACGACAGGACAATGGAATAGAGGAGACTGCATAACGTCAAAAGGATTGTATATCGGCGTATCTTCTTCGATGAAACAATTCCCAGCTTCTCGTCACACTTTGATGCAGATAAACCGAGTATGATAAATATTAATATCGATCGCAATAATTATTAATTACATGAAACTTACATCAACCAATTTATCGATGATAGTTTGCACATATTTCCAACATAGAATTGAACCAATAATGGAGACGGTTGTGAGACTCAGTACACCCACTACATCGCTAGCGGTGACAATTATCGCGTTCTGTGACTTGAGTCGAATGCTATGCTCCCATCCATCTCTTAAATCGCGCCAGAAACCCAAAATCTGAGCGCTAATCAGGCATATCAATAGGCACACACTGCAACACATTACTTTAATTATTTTGTCTATTTATAAGAATTAATTTTAATGACATATTCCAACACACATAAAATAACTTTTTAAGAAAAAATACGAGACCATTACCTATTTTTTCCCGCAGAATACGATTATAAAGTTCAAAATACTACAAAGTTACAAATTTTAAGATTTGAGAATATGAAAAAATCTATTTAAACGTACTTTTACCATTATAGGTACGTTACAACCCAGCAAATACAATAATATAACAGCTACATTGTCGTAATAAAACAGAAAATGGTTGTTCTTCCGAATGTACCACCCTTCCGAAAAGATGGAGTTTTTCGGATAATTTTGTCACAATATCTAGAGATTATTTATCGATGTCCTATCTTCGGGTTTTTCTATAGTTTTCTAGATTTTAACCTGACAATCATAAAACTCACTAATGTGTGTCTCACATTATATTCCACTGCATGGATTGAAAATAACATTAGAAGGAAGATAACCAATTGTTGTGTGGGTGGAAAAGTGTATGCGTGAATACAGTAGGATCCGCTTTTCTACGGGGGGAAAGCTCTCTCTCCAAACAAACTAACCTAACCCAAACCAATTGTTGCGTAAGTGAAAAACTGCGTGCGTGGATGCAGTAGGTTCCGCCCTCCCCTACAGAGAGGCCCCCGAAAAAACCAACCTAACCTAAACCAATTGTTGTGTAGGTGGAAAAGTGTTTGTGTATGGTCAAAGCCCGAAACGCAGGCAATCCTAGAATTGACTAAGCAATTCTGCCAAATGGCCAAACGTCTTGGTCAAAGTTTTGTAGTAATTTAATTGCTAATGTGTGTATATAGTGTGTATGGACAATACACAAATAGGTGGAGAAGGGGCAGAGTTCCTTCGCATAAAAAAACTAATTTATCTGCCAGCCTATTTCTAGAAACTGTTTTAATCAAGACGCTTGGACATTTCACAGGATTGACCAGTCACTTCACAGAATTGACCAGCCAATCCTAGAAATGCCGTGCGCATTTCAGACTTTGACCACAACATATGCATGCATGCAGTAGGTTATGTCAATATTCGCCGCTCGAGGCTCGACGGCCTAGCCGCATGTCATGCCGTGCTTCAAGAGCGTCTCTATAGAAGAAATATGCTAAAATCATACCTTCCGCTAAATTGTTATTAAATATTTTTATTTTTATAAATAATTAAACGTTAATTTATAATAATTATAAATATACGAAACACGTTACAAATACCTTAGTAGGATAGGTAGGCGGGTTCTAACACAAGGGCTTCGAGGGGAGAGCGGAAAGGGGGGTTCCGCGGCGCGGGGTACTCCATGCCCGGTGGGCGAGAAGTCCGCAAAGAGAGGGGGAACCCGCGTCCTAGGACAAGGGTTCCGCGGGATGAGGAAGGATCCGTGTTCTAGGGCAAGGGGTTCACGGGAAAGAGGAACCGCGTTGGCGGTCAGCGGTAGGAGCCGCGGAGAGGGGGATACGCGTTTGGGCACCGAGAGAGGGACCCGCGTGCAACGGCCGCGTCGGTCCGCGGTGAGGGAGAGTTCACCGCGGGCCGCGTGACGTCACACGGCACGCTTGCACATCGTCTCTCTCTTTTTTTCTTTCTCTCTCTCCCTTCCTCCTCCTCTCTCTCCTTCCCTTCCTCCCTCTCTCCCTCCTTCCCTCCCTCCTTCTCTCCCTCCACTCCCCCTTTCCCCCTCTCTCTCCCCCTCTCTTTCCTTCACCGGTGTTCACATTCTCTCAGGCTTTCCATCTTTTCTTATTCACCTCCTTACCCGTGTCACTCACCCGTTCGCGTCCTCTCCCACACTGACTTACTCCATAATGCACTCTTGGGTGTCCTTTTCGCGTTCGCCTTCTCCATCATTCGCATCTTTATTCGCGTTCTCACTCACCATCTTACGTATTCATGTTCACTCTCGCTCTTGATCGCGTATCTCTCGGGTTTTTTTACCAATGTCGCGATATTTAATTTTTATTAATTTTATTACAATATTCTAATATGACGTGGAATGGAGGAATAGTGTACAGAGGGGAAAATAACTGAAAATTTTTACCATAATGTACATTTATTTGCCATGTGTTGCATCGTATACAATATTACTTATGGCATAAGCTAATAATTCGCAATCTATAATTGATATTTAATCGTAAACATCGCGCAAGGTATTTGCGGCATTGCATTTATCGGCAATATGCAATCACTTTGTAAAATATTCACAAATCGATTAAATTTCACATTTACCTCATGCGTATTTTGACACAGCCAAAAATATGCATTCTCGACATAGTGTTCGAGCTCAAATAAGAAGAGTACGGTTGACGGTTTCATGTACAAAGTACTGTGTAAAGTCAGTTTTACAATATCTTCGTCATGTATTTTGACGAGTTGAAGAACCAATTCTCGAATCGATAGTAATGAACCGACAATTGAATGTAAAAGTTGTTCGATATCTGCACGTCTCTCGATGAATGCCGTCCACATTGCGTGTGGTAACATTATCTGATTTCCCCGGTTATCACCGAGAAGTAACTCCACAAAAGACACAGATCCCACGCTGATTCCAATGTTCAAATATTTATAAGCTGTAGCTGTTAAGTTAAATCTTCTTCCCAAGATATGTGGCGTACAACGAGGCTTATCGAAACTGTAGAAGAATACGAATAAATATGTAAAAGTATGTGAAAATATGTAAAATTATTATATATACAAAAAATTGGTGGTACTTACTCATTACGCTGTTTCTTGCGACAATCGGAACGTAATAATTCATACCGTCAGTGTTCGACATGTCTGGGAGCTGTTTATGGAGCAATTGATTTACTAACGTTTTGACTCTTATTTAAGTCCTCGTACTTACGAAAATTTTGGTTGTGGGAGGGGTTCAGGTAAGCGTCGGGAAGACCAATGATATTTACATTCATTATCAGGTACGATTATCAGCCACAAAGAACCAGCGCAAATGTTGCCATAAAATGTGTCAAAGTCGTAGATAATAGACCAATCCTTCCATAAACGACCATGTATTTCATGTAGATCAAGAGCCGAATAAGTCTGCAATACACGATGTTTAGGAGACCGCTTGTAAGTGCGAGTAAAGCGAGGAGCACATACTTCTGCACAGCGCATAATGCGTAAGCATAAGAAAATTGATTGGTCTATTTCCTTATGCACATGTGTATGGACCAATCAATTTTCTTATGCTTACGCATTATGCGTTGTGCAGAAGTGTGTGCTCCCCGCTTAAGCACGTTTCGAAACCCGAGTTCTCTGGCGCGAAAAATATGCACAAGCGATGAACAGTAGGGGAGACCAGGGCGAAGTCGTCACTATTTTCTTGGTGCTGATTTTTAACAACAAAACGAATAATTTTAGTAAAATGGTGTACTGTTGTAAAGAGTAAACATTTGGCTACAAAATTTATAAGGGTATTTATTGGTCTACGTCGCTTTGTTCAACCGGTTTAAAGTAAAAACGACAAAGGTGCAAAAATTGAAATGTCAAAATTGCCGAGGCGGAGTCGTCACTCTATCCTCGGACTGGATTTTAAATAAAAATACATAATTCCGATCATGAAAAATAATAGGATACACTTTATTAATTATTTTTTAATATAGAAAATGGAAACATTTATTAATTAAAAACACGATGGCGGAAAATAATTACAAGAAAAGCGCACGATCTTGTGTGCCCTATGCTCGCACAAAATGCACTGTTCCTTGTCAGCTCTGTTCTTTGTCATCTCTGAGCACACGCAGCACATATTATCCAAATCCTCTTCGGAATTCGACCACTGTTGCTTCCTTGACTTTGATTTTCGCCCTTTGATTTTTTAAGCTTCCATGATATCGTACGGCCACGTCATCCAAGTGTGCTATTTCATCATTATTCTTCTTCAGCCAGTCGTTCAACGTAGTTCTCGGGATTCCAAATTGTTTTTCGGCTACTTTTGTCTTATATTTATCTTTTTTTATTGCAAGAATTGCCTTCCTGAGTTACTCCTTCTTGATGGGAGTCGTTTTGTGATGGTACGTGCGTACCATTTGTGACGTGACAAAGTCACGTCCCCTGTCCGGATGATAGCTCGGCCGAAAGAGGCGTCAAGGGTAGTGCCTCCACCCGAGAGATGCGAGACGTGGGCGTTTAAGAGTAGGTCTAATTATATTTATTAGTTCCGCGAGACTTACAGATTGCGTGAGCAGGCGGCCATGGAGTATTGTAACGATTGGAGTCGCACCGCGGGAACTACGGGTAGAGGCTTGCGGCGGAAGGACGGCCGGCGGGCGGGTCACGCTGGGGCCCACAGCTCGTAACGCCGCAGAACAAGACCAGCACGGAGGATCCGGAAAGAAAGACGCCCCGACGAAGGTTCCCGTCGAGGAATAGAACCACCCCCGGGATGATGCCACCGGTCAACGAGCCACGCCCCGGCCAGCCTGGCCGTCGAGCAACCGGTCCTTGAGTCGCGGTCTGGTCAGCCGGACTCTGGGCAGATTTAAAACCACCGTCGGCGGGTGAAGGCAGACGCGAGGGGCGCCCAGGTCGGGCGCAGCGCTCGCATAGGGCGCAGCAGAAGACAAGGCTTGCAACCCCGGCGCGCAGGCGCGCGGGCCCAGCGTGGTCCCGCCGGGCCAGAAGAGCGGCACTGTCGCGCGAGCTTGCGAGCGGAGAGGTGTCACCCGAACTCCTACGACCGAGACGACTGGCTGCCGACGAGCGTGCACAATTTGTAAGGCCACTGTTCAAGCACCGCGCCGTACACGTAAGATCGTCTCGATACCGAGGCCCTCTCGGGAGTCGCGCTGTGCCGCGAGTGTTGTGAAATCCGCTAAGTAATACCGAGAGAAATACTACGAGAGGGCCCGGCCGAGTAAGTGAAACGCAATTGCCCGTCTCGGGAACTCGCGCGCGCGGCCGTCGACAGTCAACGCGTGTTTAGAAGAACGCATAATTAGAGTCAACGCGCGTTTGGAATAACACGTAATTAGAGTCAACGCGCGCTTAGAATAATGAGTAATTAGAGTCACGCGTGCATCCCGTTCCTGGGATCGAAGTCGAGATCTGTGCGTATGGATGCAGTGCACGGAGATCGTGTGCGGTTACACTTCCGTTGTGTGGGATCGCGTAATCGATGTAATTAAATGTAGTGAAATTTGTGTTGGATTCGAGATTATTGCGAAACGGCAAAATCCGCTTTGCGTAACCGGGTCGTTCTTGGCGAGGTGTCCTTCGCGCGGGTCGGACACCGTATCATCGCGGAGCCGTAGAATGGGTTCCACGTGATCGCGTCGTGGCGTGCAGGGTATCTTTGCGTTGAGTATTGCGGACCTCGCGAGGTATCGGGCGTGATTGCGAATGCCCTTCGCGGGGTTGTTGTAAGCGAGGTAGGTTCGCGTAAAAACAAACTACCATTCGCATTATTAGCATTTGTGTTAATGCATCTTTCGCATTATTAGCATTCGTGTTAATGTATTTTTCGCATTATTATTTTTCGCGTTAATGGATCTTTTGCATTATTATCATTCGCGTTGATTCGTCGTTGTATCATTCGCATATCATTATTATTCGTGTTAATTGGTCGTTGTATCATTCGCATTCCTATCATTCGCATTAATTAGTCGTAATCAGACGTTTTGCCGCTCCCGCGAAGTTCGTAGCGGGACGCGTTGCTGCCGGAACCAATTCAAACACCTATATTATTTATTCGGTTAACTCTATGTTAGAAACGGGCAATAAAAAGCGTGAAGAGATTGTGTAGGTGTAGACATCTGTGAGCATAGTGGATTTATAAGTGGCGATTCGATAGAATGCTCATAGATGGCATCGGTTACAGTTCCCTAGTTATCTTTAGAGTTAAGTATTTCGCGCGCGCTGCGACGGCGACGTTGCGCCCCAGCGCCGGAAAAAGGCACGGACCGACAATACTGCGCAAGCGTGAATGTTTTCGGGATGAACGTGAAGCCCGCCGGGAAGGTATTCGTCTTCCGGCTAGCGAGGCGTAGAGTCGCGTTCCTTCACACGTCGTCGTATAGTTATTCAATTGCTACGCGATTATAATCCGCCAGACTATTGAGTCTGAGACAGAGTACGATTGGCACACGGACGTCTCCGTAACATCAAAGGGAGACATTGCAACCCGGCTCAGAGGCGATGGTAGACATCTCGCTCGATATATACGACTGAAGGAAGGACGAACTTAGATATTGCGACGAGGCCTCGGAAAACGGACAGAAGCGGCCATTTTGCTCTTTGCACAGGCCCTCACGGTTTTGGTCAATGACCATCCTATCCAAAGATAACGACGGCGGATGCTTTCAGGTAACATATCGAACTCGTGAAGATCAGAGATCACTTATGAGATTGATCGGCAATGCTCAAGCGGATTATGATGAACGCAACGTTCTATCATAAACAACGATCTTCTGATTACACAGTTCGAGAAAGCACATGGCGACGGATTACATCCTCGCAGAACGGATTTATTACTGCCAAATATTCCGGGATTAATTATTGATCTGAGCTCAGTCAAATTAAAGTCAAGTTTACATGGTTGCAACCCGCGGATAAAGTCATTGATTTTCAATATGTAATTGTTTAACTTACGTTCTCGATGCACGCGTGAGTCGAATCTTCACGCATAATTGCTATTATCTTAAAGAATATTGCGATTCTCCCCGTGGCTATTAGCCAATGATTAAAGTGTACGACGCACTATATTATTAATGAAAAGTTAATCATCATTTAATTTAGTTCGCTCTTCAATTATCGTATTGTATATATATTCTTACTCGAAATACTTATAATCTGAATTACTACGTAAGTTACTGTGTCAATTGATAACAAGAAAGAACAATATATTGACTTTAGAATCTCACATAATATTTATATAAGCCTAAA